CAGCAGATATCATCATTATATATATATATATATATATTAAATAATTTTACATTTGATCTAGTTAAGAGTTTTAAAAAAAAATTTTCTTTTTCAAATTGCAAGATTTCATCTTTTTTTTTTTTTTGTTTTAGATCTGTTTTGCTTAGCAAAAATTAATTATTATAACAAAATTAAGCATGATAAAAATGACATCACTTCACGCATATTTTCTTAACAAAGTATTTATATTAATTTTGATTAAAATTCATTTTTTTAAAACACTATTTTTCATTTATTTATAAATACCTAACTTTTTTACCCAATAAGAATTTTTTAAAGTAAATAAATTAAATTAATACTAATGCAATTTTACACATTATTAAATAATTATGTTGCATTTTAATATTTCAATTCTTCTGCCTTTCTAACATGAAATTATTTTAAATTTTTCCAAAATTAAGCTTAAAGATCTACGGAATAAGTAGTAAAATATCAATAAGCAGTCATTAATTAAATAATATAAATTTTATACATAGACAGATATATTGGTATACACATTTTTTAAAAAATAATAAAAATTTTTCATAAAACATTTTTAAGATCTCTCTTGAATTTCAATTATACAACTGTGATGCAATATAAAACTGTATAAAACTCTGATAATAGAGAAATGATTATATATATATATTTTTTTCTTCTTCTGCTATTGCTTTATTTTCCTTATCAAATTGCTTTTGAATTTCAATTTTTTATTATGTTCTGACTGCATAGTCACTAATTATATATTACTGCATTTAATTCCTACAAGACAGTTTCAATTTTAAAATATTTCTGATTACCATATTTACTCACATATAAGACAAGGTTTTTATTCATTTTCACTGTTTCAAAAACCTAGATTGTCCTATACGCACAAGCGAAGGATTGTTTACATTTTTGCAATAATTTTTGTAAACCATGTATTCACATTTTTTACCTGATGCTCACCCTCTGGTGCTTAAAAACAAAAGTATTTTATCTGGGTCATTTCAATCGTTCTTGTGTATTGTTAGGAGTAACGACGAATAGCAATAGGAAAAGCAAAGCTTTTGAATTGAATTCTAAATTGAAATTCCAAAATTACACGGGAGCCTGATATCAGTTTTAATCCATTCCCATGTGGAAACAGATGATTATTCAGAAATCAAAATTCGGAGAAAATCATGTAATCAACAGAGAGTGGATTCGACCATTAAGAACTGGCAAAAAAGGTTCCTGATTGTCCAGCTCTACATGAACAAATTATGTTGTTGACTTTACAGGATATTTCCTTAAAGTTTAAAATGCCAGTAATTTTTGCAGGACAATGTGTGCATTTGATATTTTATTTGTGATTAAATGAAATAAAATTAGAATTGTATTAATAAATCTAATTTTCTTTATTTTGATCTTTAAAGTCACACCTCGTCCTATATGTGAGATCATCTTATACACAAGTAAATATGGTATATACTTAAGCAAAATTAATGAGGGCATTAAAAGTTAGGTGTTTATTAACATATCATAGAATTGCAATAAAATCTTAAAATCATCATAGCTTAAAAATTTTTTGTAGTGGGTAATTGACTTCAACACAAAACTGATATGCCATGTAAAAAACTCATAGTAATAACAATAAAAAATAATAGAAGGAAAAATATGAGGAATTACCGAATAAAATCTGTACATTCAATTTGATGTTGGATACAAACAGATGAAAAGTTGTTCTATTGCTTGAGCAGTTACCTAATGAGACAGGTTACACACAGACGTGATGGACCAATGCAATCGTCGTGACAGAAAGCTCCACATTTCCGACACATAACCATGGCTTTGAGGTTACATGCACAATTATTATTTCCACTGATATCTGAAGGTGGAATGGTTCCTCCAGGATTGCCTTCGGAAGCTGTTTCGGAATTCACCCCGTTTACTAAGGCGTGCGGAGATCGTCCGGTGGTACCATGCATATTAGACGACTGTACTGGTGCTGTTACGACTGTAGTTGTGCCATTTACAGATGGGAAAATAGAAGCTGTTGACACAATCGGTAATGGAGTGACCATCGTTACTGCTGGAGAGTGTCCATCATTAAGAGGCAAATGATTGTTAAATCCAGTTCGATCTTGTGTCATGAGTATACTGCCAGGTGCTACGGGATATGATGTCTGGGATATTCCGGCAGCATTTACAGCAATTCCAGAATGTTGTAGTGGAAAACCACTCATTAATAACTGACTGTTAACAACAAGACCTGTGCTTGCTGAAACTCCACAATCTCCGAGATGCAACGGCATCTGACCAAAAACCATTCCTAATCCATTATTCAAACCTGTGGCAACTCTCATTTCTAAGTGACTCATTTCTCCTGCCAAAGTTACAACATTTCTTCCATTTTTCATTAATTGACCAGCTGAGAATGAAAGATTTCCAAATGAATTAGTACCTCCTGTGCCAGGAAATCGAGCACAAGAGGTATTACCTACCACTAAAAAAGACTGCGACAATGGCCGTGACAGACAATTATTCAACTGAACTAGTGAATTTATTCGTTTATTACATATATCTTGACAACTGTTGTATTTTTTAATATTAGGAAGCAAGTAAGTTTCATTTGGACTGCAATCTTTCGATATCAAAATTGGTGGTGCACTAGATGGCCTCCATCTTGATTCAACAGATGACAAAGAAATAGGAGTATCACAGTGCTGTTCTTCTAATTTTTCTTGGCAAAAATTTTCTTCCTTTGCTTCAATATTTGTTTCTTGATCTGCATCTTGAATGCTTTCTACTGAATCACAGCCACTGGTACTATTCTTGCAATACTGATCTTCTGTTGTTGGTAAATCATTTGATGTCTCCTCTTCTTTGGCACTTTCCATTAAAATGGTTGTAGACTGATTAGAATTCTCTTTCTCCGAAGACTGAATTTCTGTAATTTCATCTTGTACATCATCTTCAGCAATGTAAAGTTCATCACTCTCCTGTAAAAATATTTAAAAAATATATAAATACATAAACATTTCAAAGCCCAATAATTATATTAAAACCAAACAATTACTGGATTAAATTTGGCTACATTACCACTACTAATAATTATTAAATACTGAGTAATTTGGTACTAGAGGTAGGTGTTAGGCACTATCTCTTATTCAGTTTAATCATTAGTAGTGGTAATATAGCCCAATTTAACCTGGTAATCGTTTGACTTTAAAAAATATATAATTTAACAAACTGATAAATGTAAATGTTATATTTATTGAAAAATAACAATATTCTTAAATATTGCTATTTTTGAAATAGTCACTTGCTGCTTAACTATTATAACTGCTTCTAAGAAAATTACTGTTGATGGAATCTATCATTAGTCAGCTATTACTGTTATATAGAATGCTAAGGGCTCTGCACCTGACTGTCTTTGATGGTTCAACTCTAGTGTTTTGCATTTCATGATGTTCTCCATATTCATGGTGCATTTCATAATAATTTATATATAATGAATAAGTATTCAATAACTAAGTAATAAAAGAATTAATATAGAATAATCAATGAGAAGCAAAACAAAATGTAATTTAAATTTTGTTGTACATTATTAGTTAAAACAAGTGTTAAAAAAAAAAAAAAAGGTAACTGGCACTTAATTGATCATTGGGATGCTGTGGCATTCTGTGAGCACTCGGATCAAACTCTGATACCCCATAGGTCCTAAAATATTTGAAGTTTTTGAGATTTTTAACTTTTCTAGAAATACACCCAACATCATTTTTTTAATGTACTACTTGTAAGATGATTTCTTCTGTTCAAATGTTTCATGTCAGAATAAATCAGTTATTATATTACATAACAGTAATATATCATTATATTCTACACTACATACAGAACACTATAAAAAAAAGTAAATTCTGAAAAAGAGTGCTTTGTAAATAGACACCCACGACTGCTGCAAATAATCGGGCTATAATTTGGAAATATTAATTATGAATTATAATTAACGTATTAACCGTCGATGATTATACATTAGGCTTATATATACTAGAAGAGGAGATTGGACCAAAGGTCCAGGTAGTATAACTGGCAACGCATCCGCACAGTAAGCGGGAGTTGCAGGTTTGAGTCCTGCTTTGGGCCTATTCTTTTCTTCCAGTTTATTCTAAATTAATTAATTAATTATTATAATTATTAAATTTAATACGAGATGGTGCCTAACGCCTCCCTTTAGTGCCAAATTTATTTGTAATTCATAATTAATATTTCCAAATTATAGCCAGATTATTTACAGCAATCGTGGGTGTCTATTTGCTAAGCATCGGGTTTCGGTAGATGTTTATATCTGTAGTGCTTTGTAAATTTTGTCTGTGCAATAATTTAGAATAATTTTAATTTTAAGAAAAAGAAAAGATTTTGGAAATTGATAGAATATTGGATTCCTCATTTATTTATTTATTTGCTTTTTAGTCAAAAGCAAAGATGCCATTAAGTAGGCCCAAAAGTTGAACTTGACAGGCTCAAAAGTATGCAAGTATTAACGAACACACTGGTTATACTGTGGTTTCTCTTCAGGTTATACAAAACTATTTTTTGTAGAACTAACTTTTAAATATCTTACGAAGATCAATTACTTAAGGACTGATGATATATAAAATTAATATTTGGAACATTGTCAATATGTGATCACAAAATTGTTAAATAATGATAATTTACAATTAAGTACCATACTGTAATAATAAACAATGAAATATAATTAAATGATTAGTTGAATTAACTTGCTTTTTGAGTACACTGTAATCTTTTCACTATTTTCAAATTCAAATACAGGTATCCCTCATACAACACAGCATTCCTACAACATGGTTTAAGAATTGGGATATCCCTATACAACACAGTTTCATTCTAACAAGGTTTGAAAACACTCCTGGACAAAACATCAAAATTTTTAAGTGCAAACCCTGTCATTTGATATTTTTTAATTAACACAAATGTGTTGTCTCATATTTACCCATGGATTTTAGAATATTAAAATTTTCAATGCTGTTTAATTCTTTAATGACAACAGACTACAATTTTTCTTCTTCCTTGTCCTAACTTCCTATTATAGATTTCCTATAAACCAGGTGTCACTGTTGTTGGTGATAGTGATCTAAATGAACCCAAAAGACTATTGCAGTAATTTTTTTATAGATTAAACTAAAAGTTACTACATACAAAGATTAAATTTTTAAGGATAGGCTTGCATTTGTCCATCAGATTTTATAAAAAATGTAGAGAAAAATAAAGATGTTGATGATACTTCAGATTAAGGTTAATAAGAAATTATCCAGAGGAATCACTACAAACACTAATATGTTTGAAAATAAAGTTAAACTGTTTCACAAAGGTAACAAAATAAAACAATATGACACAGTAAAAAGATATGGTATTTATATTACTTGGACTGCATTGCTATATTTTGTTCAATAGTAAACTTAAGAAATTAGGAGTTCCATAATTAAATACTAGATGACCAAGCAGTTAAAGTGACAGTCTATCACTCTGAAGGACCCAGGATTCTAGATGGATTGAAAATCCCAGTTATTTTTTAGAATGGTCTATCTGGATATGTCAAGCCCTATATCATACCACCTGCATGCCCCTTTGTGGACATGGCTGAACCAATAATGGGCTTGCTAAAAGGACTTCTTAGTGCCCACAGGATGGAAAAAAGTTATTTAATTATTTACATGATGCACCAGTTTTGTGTTATTAATGTATTTTAATGTAATCTTGGGTAAACTTTGTTATTTGGAAAAAATCTATTGTCCATCAACAGTTCCAATTAAATGTAAAATAAATAAATAAATAATTATTATAACTTTTAAATGTAAGCTTTATGGAATTAAAGCTTATATTTAAAAGTTATAATATTTCTTAAAACTAGAATTTAATTAAAATAGCAGATTACAAAACTCTATCACAGATCATTTGAAAAATGGCTGATCATCATAAGGTATAATTACACCTCTGAATGAGACAGTTGGGACCTTATCAGAACTGTAGACAATACCAATAGGAAAAAAGTCAAAAGAACCATATCTCTACATGTGGCTCTTCACAAGATACAGCTCCCTGAAATTAGCTTACTTTCAGGTCATGTGATTTGCATTGCTCTGCTAAGACTATTGTGTTTAACTATTTAGCCCATGCAACTATACAGGCTTTGAGTAGTCCACTTGACCATTCATTGAGTACTTGATGTTATATAGTTTTAGGGAATGTGGGGACTTGTCTCCATGCAGGCAATGAGATGTAAGAAACATCAAGCACTGAAGTGCACAAAACATGGCATAACATGCAGAATATAGGCAGTATACTGATTCAGGGTAACTGACCTTTGGAGGCAAGCAAAGGGTTGCTTGTACAGGTATGGTTCCTTTGACTTATTTGCTAATATAGAGGGCTTACAGTCTCCAGTCATTCAGCATTTACATCTTATCCATCAGATTTGCAAATAAACAAATAAATAAAAGTCTTTGATCATAATGTATTCAGACAAAAACAATTATGTAACTTGTTAGAGATTGTGATCCACTTTTTAATCTGACCAATAAATTTAGTAACTGGATTAATTACTATCATAAAAATGTACATCATCACCTATCCTAGACCAATAATTATTTAATCATTAATATTAAATAAATTTAGAAATAATTGAAAAAAAACCTATGTGACTTCAACAAACTGGTCATGAAATATAATTTAGATATTATAACATCCAACATTTATTTTGTTTATTTTTTTATACCTTATAATATCTGAAAACAGAATAGATATGTTTCAAGTCAACTAGCATAGCTGAATCTTTTTTCAGGTAGATATAATCCAAGTAAATTTCTCCCCCTTCTATTATAACCAAATCGGTCAAAACTTCAATTCATAGAAACTGATAGCATGATTTCATACTAATCTACCAGTCTACCACATGCGAGAGTATTTGCTAGCACAGGAAATTCTATTTATAATTATATTCAGTTACTTACACCATTTGTCATCATCTTATTTCCATTAATCTACAAACTCAGGTTTGAGTTTGGTAAGTCTTAACACTTTCCACTTTCACTACTAATTTTCATAATCTGAACAATAATAAAAGAGAATGCATTTCATAAAAATGCTAAAATTATGATAATGCCTTTAATAAATGAATAAATAACTTCATGATTCAGTTATGATAAAATTATATTTTAAATGCTAAATTTGTAAAATTTTATGTAAATTAGCACAATGTCTCTAGTGTGTATAAAAGACAATTGTGAAGTTATCTCCATATAAATTGTTCCAATCAGAAGAAGAGGGGAATTGTAAAGCTGATTAGGAAACTGTTCTGTCAGTTGTAAATAATTAAAAGATCTTGGAATTGTTGCTTCTTAAATTATTAGCCCCGTTAATTAGGCTAATCTAGAATAAATATATTTTCATGAACTATAAAAAAATATTCAGTACTCATAAAATAGCTGATTCTAATAAAGTTTATTTTTCCACTTTTTCATTTTAATCAAATAGAATATTGCTGATCTTTTGCAAAGTATGAAATGACTTCTTGTAACTGTTCACAAAATTTTGGTACTTTTTCTTTATGATTAGCATAAAATACACACATACACAAAAAATCCTTTATATTTATAATTACAGGTATCTCTACAACACAGTTCACAACCTGGGGAAATCTCCCGTACAACACATTTTGTATGGGAATGTCTCCAATTCTCAAACTATCACAATTTTTAAGTATAAACACCATCATTCAATATATTTTTTTTAAATTCAAGCAAGCATGTGTGTTGTCTCATATTTGAAAATTTCAATATTCTAAATTCCTTGAACAATGTTTTTGTCTTTTCATCCAGTTTTTTTTAAATGAGAACTGATTATAGGAAGCTAGAAAAATTGTGAAAACTAGGTGTCACTGGCTTTGATGATAGTGCTGTAAATGAACCCAAAACACACTCAC